ACCTACTTAGAGTATCAGCCCCTGACTTCTATCCTTAGGAAGTTTGTGAGTTCTTTTGTTTTGTCTGCTGTCCTGAGGTCTGGCCCACAGGAGGTGCCCGCCTCCCCGGTTGTAAGATAGCTCGGCTCCCGCTCTGGCTCCTGTAGGGCCCAGCCCCATCTGATGCCTGTAGTACTTTATCTAGCTCAGCTGCCTGTAACACCAGCATCATTTCAAATGCTGGTATACTGTCTAACTGGGAGACAGACAACAAATACTAGGTGAGTGGAAAAGAATGTCAAGGTGGGTTTGAAAGAACAGTGGGCAAACGGAATGGGATCCGGGCCCCAGGCCTGGAGGAGCTGTGTGGGCCACAGATCCGAGCACAGGGTCCCTGCAGCTTCCCTCTGCTCTCCTCCCAGGACCCCGCACAGTCGTGGGGCGCACGTACAGAGCACCCTTCTCTGCTGCTGCTCACACTAGGCTAACACCCCAGGCAGAGGCAACACCCTCCTCGCCTCCGTGGGCTTCAGTGGTCACAGATATCACACAGATGTCAGCACGAGTGTGGGCTGGCACGTTTCGTGACACTGACCCAGTTGGATGCTGTGGAGACGACAGAGAACCCGAGGTCCATGCAAGGAGAGGTGTGGTGTGCTGGCCAGCTCAGGGTCCTGCAGACGGGCCTCAGGCAGGGGCCAGGGCAGTGGGGTGCTTTTAGCCCTCAGGTGACCTTTTGGGCCTGAAGAGACACTGGCTGGAGGAAGCTTCCTGTACCTTCCTGCAGATTTCTCTAGTTTTCCTCAGCAAATCTTGAAGGAATGAGCAAACACAGTTAATGTAAACAATAGGTAAGTTGTTGTTGGTTTGGTTTTGTTTTGTGGTGCTGGCAGCTACACACAGGATGCACACACGCCAGGCAAGCGCTCGCTCCCGACTGCAGCCCCAGCCTGGGCCTGGTGTCCTTGAGGTCCCTGGCATAAAAGACCAGTATGTAGAAAATGCAGGGGTGTCATAGGACGATGACCAGGACAGCCTCGTCTACACCAGCAGCACCAGCCAGCAGCCTGTTCCCAGGGGCAGAGGTGCAGAGGGTTCCGAGGGCACCGCACACGGCGAGGGTGTCCAAGGGCAGGGCCCAGGGCAGGGCCTCGGGCTCAGCGTTGTCGTCTCTTCTCCTCCCTAGGGCCCTGGCGAGCCTCCTTGGCCTTCTCCTGGGTGTGCTGCTCCTGGCCAGCCCTGCACCCGGCATCCAGCCCTGCTCCTCCAACGGCCAGATAGCCTTGTTTCGTCTCTGCAACCTCACCCAGGCCCCTCAAGTCCCTGCCACCACCAAGAACCTCCTGCTGAGCTTTAACTACATCGGGACAGTCACCCGCACATCGTTCCCCTTCTTGGAGCAGCTCCGGCTGCTGGAGCTCGGGGCCCAGTGGACACCCATGACCATTGGCCCAGAGGCCTTCCAGAACCTGCCCAACCTCAGGATCTTGGATCTGGGCAACAGCAAGATCCATGTGCTACATCCGGACGCTTTCCAAGGCCTGCCCCAGCTGTTCGAACTTAGACTGTTTTCCTGTGGCCTCTCGGAGACTGTGCTGAGGGACGGTTACTTCAGAAATTTAAGTTCCTTGACCCACCTGGACCTGTCCATGAATCAGATCAGCAGCCTTTCCCTTCACCCTTCCTTCCAGGAACTGAGTTCCTTAAAGTCCATGGACTTCTCTCTCAACCGGATCCTCACCGTGTGTGAGGGCGAGCTCAGCGCGCTCCAAGGGAAGACGCTGTCTTTCCTCAGTCTCAAGCTGACCTATGTGTTCAGCAGGGGGGTGGACTGGGAGCGGTGTGGGAACCCCTTCCGGAGCCTACGGCTGGAGACGCTCGATGTCTCGCAGAACGGCTGGACAGTGGCTATCACCGGAAACTTCAGCCACGCCATCTCGGGGAGCGAGGTTTCCTCCCTGGTCCTTCAGTACCACATCATGGGCTCTGGCTTTGGCTTCCAGAACATTGCAGACCCCGATACCAGCACATTCGCAGGCCTGGCCAGAAGCTTGGTGAGGAGCCTGGACCTCTCTGAAGGGTTCATCTTCTCCCTGAAGCCCCGGGTCTTCGAGACACTCGAGGTCCTGAAGGCGCTGAACCTGGCCTGCAACAAGATAAACAAGATCTCAGAAGGAGCGTTTCTCGGGCTGCACAGCCTGCAGGTCCTCAACATGTCTTTCAATCTCCTGGGGGAGCTGTACAGCTTCACCTTCCGCGGGCTGCCTCGCGTAGCATACATTGATCTGCAGAAGAACCACCTGGGGATCATCGCGGCCCAAACCTTCCAGCTCCTGGGAAAGCTGGAGACCTTGGATCTCCGGGACAATGCTCTCAAGACCATTCCTCCCATCCCAAGCATTCCTACTGTCCTCCTAAGTGGCAATAAGCTGGTGAGCTTGCCAGATGTCAGACTTAGTGTCCACTTCCTGCAGTTATCAGAAAACAGGCTAGAAAATCTGGCTGATCTCTACCGCCTCCTCCAGGTGCCTCATATCCAGACCCTCATCTTAAACCAAAACCGCCTTTCCTCTTGTCAGCCAGGCCTTCGCCCTTCAGCAAACCCCAGCTTAAAAAACCTTTTCCTTGGAGAAAATATGCTGCAACTCGCCTGGGAAGCCGGGCTCTGCTGGGATGTGTTCAGGGGGCTCTTCCATCTCCAGGTTCTGTTTCTGAACAATAACTACCTTAGTTTCCTGCCCCCTGGGGTGTTCAGTGACCTGACTTCACTGAGAGGACTCAGCCTCACCGCCAACAGGCTGACCACGATTTCTCCTGGCAGCTTGCCAGCCAGCCTGGAGGTCCTGGACATTTCCTGGAATCAGCTCCTGTCTCCCGACCCCAGCTCATTTGCCACGCTTCGTTCCTTGGACATAACGCACAACAAGTTCATCTGTGAGTGTGAGCTTACCGTGTTCCTCCGATGGCTCAACCACACCAACGTCACTTTGGAAGGAGCTCCAGAGGACATGGTCTGCGCCTACCCTGCCTGGCTCTCCGACCTGTCCCTCTTCTCACTTTCCACGGAGGGCTGTGATGAGGAGGAGACCTTAAAGTCCCTGCGCTTTTCGCTTTTTGTCGTGTCTGCAGTCAGTGTGACCGTGTTCCTCATGACCATCCTCGTAGTCACAAAGCTCCGGGGGCTTTGTTTCCTGTGCTACAAGACAGCACAGAGCTTGGTGTTGGGTGAGCGCCCCCCAAGAAGAGACCCTGACACCTACAAGTATGATGCCTACTTCTGCTTCAGCAGCAAAGACTTTAGGTGGGTGCAGAATGCTTTGCTTAAACACCTGGATGCCCAGTACAGTGACCGAAACAGGCTCTCCCTGTGCTTCCAGGAGAGAGACTTCGTCCCAGGGGAGGACCATGTTGCCAACCTCCAGGCCGCCATCTGGAGCAGCAGGAAGGTGGTCTGCCTCCTGAGCAGGCACTTCCTCAGCGATGGGTGGTGCCTGGAGGCCTTCAGCTACGCCCAAGAGCGGTGTGTGTCTGACCTGCAGAGTGTTCTCATTGTGGTGGTGCTGGGGTCACTGTCCCCGTACGAGCTCATGAGACATCCAGCCATTCGGGGGTTTGTGCAGAAGCGGCAGTACTTGCGGTGGCCCGAGGAGCACCAGGACGTGGGCTGGTTTCGCAGTAAACTCTCTCAGCACATACTAAAGAAGGTGAAGGGAAAGAGGGAAGACCGCAACATTCAGCTGCAGACCGTAGCCTCTGTCTCCTAGCGAAGGGCAGCTTGCAGCGCGTCCTGAGCCACAGAGGTGCTGCTGCACTTGGCCAGGTTGACACTTGGGGGTCTTTTTGGGGTCTCCTTCCTGCTGTTAAGAGAATGTCCACCTCTCACTGTCCCTATTCACTCAAGGTTCTGTCTTGCTGCCTCCCAAATGGAACAGAACAGATCTGGAAAACTGCAGCTGCACGCAGCAGCAGCAGCCAGTCACCTTGATTTCCTCTCAGACCCAGTGTTGCCATTCTGCCGTGCTGTGTGGACTGCACACAGCACCGCCGGCGTGGCAGGACACTTGGGGAAGGTGACAGCCCCACGCTTTCCCTGGGGCTCTGCTCCAGGATGGGCTGGGCAGTGATGCCGAGGCAGGCATGAGCCTGCAAGCTAGCACTAAATAGGGAACAATCAGGAGAGCTGTGCGTCCGCCTCCATCTGTAGGGACAACGCCCATGTGGCACCGCTTGCTTGCACTCCGTCCTAGGGATACAAGGTGGCCCTGGACACCTTGGGGGAGAATTACTGCACCCCATGGCCACAGCGCATTCCCACTTTTCAGGCATCTGTCAGCTCAGCACCAGGCCTTCCAGAAACAGCACCAAGCGACCTCCTCTCTCCTGCCCATGTCACCTTGCTCAACTGTGGTATGGAAAGGAGTGGGCTCCGTGGCTGTGAGCTGTGTGGCCTGGAGTGCTAGGTCCCCTTGTCACCTGGGACATCACTGCGCCACCTCCTGGAGCTGCTGCAGGAATCATGGGGCCCGGGGTGTCAGAGCTGCTGGCTGCGCTCCCTGCACCGCCCGTAAGGCTGTAAGAGACCACACTCACCCGAGGCTCTGCACCCTGTCGCCATGGCTTTGGGTCTCTATATTTTAATCCTAGAAGGAACCTATGTATATTTTGCCTTCTAATCCTTTCTTATGTTTATTAATACAGATTTTTTTTCAAATACATTAGGAAAATTAAACCAAAGGTGTGTCGTGGTGACCCCTCACTCATCTGCTCTGTGGGCCTGCCATCCACTCCCGGGATGCCTCTGCTGTTCCCCACTGTGACACACATGTGCGTGCACACACGCGCCTACGCAGGCCAGCCTGGCTCTATCGAACCACCTCTCGTTCAAGAGCCAGCTTGCCCTGTACTAGTGACAGACAGAATTGTGCCTGGCACGCCTTCTGGAGTGTTCTCCCCCATCTGCCCACACGTTCATTCCTGACAGCTTCTGCTTGCTACAGTTTACCCTTCGGTGGCAGAACAGGTGGTGTTTCCAGTGCTGGCCAGACCGAATAACGCTGCCGGAAACCTGCTGTGCGCTTGGGGCACACTCTTGGGCTTCACACACTGTGTGCACACCCAGGCGTCACGCACCCTGCCACGATGCGCGGGGCTGCACTCCAGGAGGTGCAGCGCTCACATCGGCATCGCTAGCCCGGGAGCTGCGCTCCACGTGGGCCTTTCTAGCACAGGCACTTTTTGTTGGCATTGTCCTGATGACCAACAGGCCAGAGACTCTTTTGTTCACTTGTTGGGCACGATGTCCTTCTGCAAAGTTCTTGTCCTCGCATCCATGTTTCTTTTCCATGTCTTTCTTGGTCCGTCCACATGCGTCCACATTCTCGTCACAAGTCCTTTTCAGGCGTGGTGCGGACGTCCTCTGGGTGAGGCCCTGTGCCCTCCATGAGTTTCCTGATGAGCTTCAGCAAAGCTGCCAGTTGTAGCTACATATGTGCCGCACAGAGTGATGTCACAAAAACGTTAGGTCAAAGAGATCAGATGTTAATGATTATATACTGAGCAATTCTGTTTCAGAAGTTTCAGAAAGACAAAGCTCACCAGTGGTGACGATGGCAGTGACAGTGGCCTCGGGGAGCGGGCAGGAGGACTTCCAAGGTGCTGTCCTGTTCTTGACTAGACAGTAGGGGACAGCTGTGCTCACTGGATAATGATACAAGGTCATCAAAATATGCACTGAGCATTCTGCTTAGAAACTGTCACAGCAGAAGCACATCAGCTTGGCTCCCTGAGGTGTGCCCCCAGCTGGGGACACAGTCCTGTCACTCGTGCTGCCCTGGGAGGACACCCATGCACAAACCACGACGTCTCCTCCAGGTAATGGAACACCCTCATTTCCTCAGTTCCTGCTTTGACTTCTCATTTTACTAACAAATTTTTTTAATGTATTTAGTGCAGGGTCTACAGGGGCTCACTACACAGATCAGACTCCTAGTGATCCTGCTGTTTTTCAGCCTCCCAAGTGCTGGGATTATAGGCGCGTGCCACCATGCCCAGTCTCAGTTGCTGTCTCAGGGTAACCCAGGGGAGAGGGCGGCACAGCAGGCTGGGACCGAGCCCCTGCCCCTGGATCTGCCTAAGCAGAAGCTTTAATCGGCTGAGCTATCAGGCCAGCCCTAACAATGTTTTTAATGACGAACTTCTTTAGTTCTGTGAAAGCCCAGGTTAGCAGGTTATCCTGTGGTGGGTGACCCGTGTCCCATATGGTAGTGTTCATGTTCCCAAGACCCTGAGGGCAGACCTCCATCTTCTAATGGCCCACGGTCAGGTCAGCTCCACATATTACCTCCTGGTCCCTGACAGGTCTGGGAAGCTGGCCGTGGCTGTTAGGAGCTGTCACCATGCAGTGCTACACCCAGGAGGGGACCCTGGACTGGGGTGCTGTTCTGTGTCTCACCAGCGGCCTTCCTTCTGAGCAGGCCAGGAGACGCTGCTCCTAGGTGGAAGGCACGGGGAGTCCCTGTGTCCCTGTGGGCTGCCAGTAGCACCCCGGTAAGTTCATGGACAGCTCCACCGGGGCGTACAAGGAGCTGGAGGAGACTGCAAAATTAGGGCAGTAAGTGGGGGCCACACTGCCCAGCAGGCCAGCCATTCCTGTAGGCGCAAGAGGGCGACAGCAGTGGGGAAGGGGCCCAGCTCCAACATAGAAGAGGCACAAGGACGTGGTGCTCATGGTGCCCAGGGGGAGTCCTTGAAGAGGACGCTGCTGCAGGGTGAGCAGGGCCGCCTGTGGGTGAGGGCGCCCCAGAAACCTGCTGGGACAGGAGGGGCAGGCGCAGACCTCGGACCTCAGAGGCCATGGCTGTGTTCACTGCGGAGGGGTAAGGGTGCGCTCGGACTTGGGAGACACGAGGCCAGGCCTGCCGGGATAACGTCTGCACCACCGCGGCGCTGCTGGGCCCTGGCTGTGGCCCGGGCTGCTCCGGCGCTCTTATCCAGCATGTGGCGCCCTCTCCTGGCTGTGCCCAGCCTGCTCTCTGTTTTGGGGAAACGTTCTCTCCCCATCTCTTGAGAGCCAGGAGGTGTGCAGGAGCTCTCACCCTGTCTCTGGTTTCAGAGGATGCGCAGCCATCCAGACCCACACGCGTGGTGCCTCCCCCCTCTACCTCTGCGGGGCGGTGGGCGCGGCTCACAGCGGTGGGGAGCCAGACAGGGTGCTGTCTGGCTGGCTCCCTCCTCACGCTGCTTAACTTGGAGGGAGGGCAATGCTCCGTGGCGTGTCCCACCATCTGAGTCACAGCTGGAGAAAAGGGGAGAAGTGAGCTAAGACTTGGGCAGAGTGAGTTAAGATTGCGTCAACTGATTTTGCCTGGTGGATGTTGGACAACAGACATGCATGTTCACGAGCACGCGCGCGCGCGCACACACACACACACACACACACACACAGAGTTTCCTGTCTTCATTAAAAGAGAAGAAAAACCCCTGGCCTATTTCACACACACACGGCCAGTAGTGGAGCTATGGCCCTCTGAAGAGGCTGACCAGCTGCTATGAGGAAAAAGGCCGCAGACATCGCAGGGTCTCCTGCCCGGGTCCCAGCCTGAGGGCCCCAGGTCCTGCCCGGGCTGGAGAGGTGGGGAAAGCACAGCTGCTCAGTGCGGGGTGGGGACTCGCTGGCAGCCCGCGACAGCTCTGGAGACAGTCATGGTTTCCAGGCCAAGGCGGGCGTTTCTGGCTGCCGTGTGGCTCCAAGCACAATCCCAGGAGGCTGGGCGGAGGCCTCAAGAAGGACCCTGTGCCGCACAGTAAGCACACTGGGAAGCGTGGCCCGAGGCGTCTGGGACCAACCGCAACACTGGCGTCATCACCAGGAGGGTGTGCCCTTGTGGTTTGTCAGCAAGGGACTGACCCGCTTCCCCAGCCCTGGCACAGCCCTGTGCCCTGTGTCCCTGGAGGGGGCCCTGTGTCTGTGCAGCCCAGAGCTGCAGCGCTGTGCTATCAGGACAGCTGCAGGGACTAACACTGACTTGGGCTCTGGGGAGGGCAATGAGCGGGCCAGACCTGACTGGGCCCCGCAGGTGGATGTGGGCCCCGTGGGTGGATTTGGGCCCCGCGGGTGGACGTGGGCCCCACAGGTGGTGGGCGTGGGCCCCACAGCCTTGCAACCAGCCTGTGCACACCGTGGGCAGTCACAGGGTGCCAGATGCTTGCTCCCACTACACATCACTCCTGGAGCTCAGGCAGGGCCGACGCTGTCCCAGGGCCGCAGGGTGCCCGGGAAGCAGAGGGAGGCTTCCCGGAGCAGTGCCAGTGTACGTGCAGTGGTATCCATCCTCAGCCACTGCAGCTTCCCTTCTTACTGTAGTGCTGTGACTAAACTTGGAGCAGAATCTCTGAGACGGTGGGGCCGGCTGATCCAGTCTGCAAACAGGAAGGGATCTTCCCACTCTGTTGCCACGGCAGGCAGAGCAGGCCTAGGCTGGAGCCACAGCACTAACCCACATGACACGATGCCACGCTGCCCCTACACACACACACACACACACACACACACAGAACACCCTCCCCACAGGCCAGCCTCGGAAGCCAGGAAGTTTGCATCTCTTCATCTGCATCCAGCCTAGGAGCTTGGACTTGGCTCTGGAGCTGATAGCCTGGGCAGACAGACCAGCCTGGCCATGGCACGTTCTTACAGCCCTGCCTCCCTCCCACCAGGCCCTTACCCCTCAGGTCCCCAAGACAGAGCACCAGGCAGCGGCCACAGTGGAGAGCCAGCCCTCAGCCGGCAGGACAGACGGGTCCCTTAGCCATGTGGTCTCTGTGTTCCCCACCTGGCTGCAGCCCAGCAGACGGAGCTGACTTCTGTGGAGATCCCCACTGGCTTTTAGGAGGAGGGCATCTCCGGCTCCTCTGTGGTGACATCTCTGTGACTTGTGAGTTACGGTGTCCCACAGGTGCTAGGTCCATAGCCAGTGGGCAAAGGCCAGTGCATGGTGCTGTCTCCAGCTGCAGGGCCTCCAGCTGGCCCCCCAACCTGCACACAGCCCTTGGTGACACTGGCACTGTAGGGGCCTCCCTCCAGCACTGTGGGAAAGGGCAGAGCAGAGCGCTTCCAGGAGCAGAGCCGCCATTCAGATGCAGAGGCCCAGGCTCCTGCGTCCCACATGCAGAAGGACTTACTCTTGTCTGCCAGGATTTTGGAGTAGGTCTCCTCAGCCGTGGCCTCTTGGTGTCTGGGGACCAGTCAGCCTTCCTGCTGGACCAGGCGGCCTCTACCACCAGCTGGTTGTGGCCACTGAGACACGGCTCAGATGTGGTTCAGTGTCCCCAGATGGACAAACCACCCTGGCTTAAACCCACAGAGCCCAAGAGGATCCAGGGAAGAGCTCTGCAGGTGGGAAGGCACCCGAGGGACAGAGGCCGCTCCCGGGGCCAGGGCACAGCAGGAAGGAACTCCGGGCTCCAAGCCGCTTCTCTCCCTGGTCGGAGCACTTTGGACGTGACATGGCAGAGCAGTGTCTGCTGAATCTGTAATCTGCACTTAGTACACGCATGCAGCACGTCAAGCTCACGTTCCTTGTGGGGTCAGCAACACGCCTCGTGCGCCCCTCCTCCTGCCACGTGGTAAAGATATGTCTCCGTATTTCCTGTCATCTTTCTTTTATTTTGCTCTAAATTACTTATGTTCTACATTTGTCGTGTAAGAGAAGCCTAGTGGTCTCTGAGCTGCGGCTCTGACGCGTCTCACAAAGGTC